CTTTTTCAGCAAGCGGGTCTGACCTAGGGTGAATTTTAAATAGGGACAATTTTAAGGATTTTAACAAGACACAGCGACAAATATTTGGTTTTTAATTGGCTTTTAGAGGGGAAATGTTTTATATTGTTTTAACATGCTGTGAGCCGCCCTGAGTCCCATGGGGAGAAGGGCGGCATATAAGTTGTGATAAATAAATAAACAACAGTAAAATAATGAAATAATAAAAAAATTACAGCAATATGAATTAAAAGAGAGCAGGATGTATAGAGGGTTAGTTCACCTATTTATTTGATATACATATATGTTCAAATAAATAAGTGACTGTATATATGTGTATTCACTTTATTTGAATATACTTTGTGTGTGTGTGTGTCTGCCCATCTCTTGTATGTGTCTGTGAGCAGCCTACAAAAGTTAAAAACACACTTACTTGCTGTATTATTGGAAACGTCCTTGAAGCTGGAAAGGTGGGGCAGCATATAAATATTCCATCACAAACAGTATTAAGATAATAAAATAATGGCTGGAGGTCAGTAGGAGATCTCACCCATTCCGTGTACCCCCAAACACTATTTCAAATCATTTAGTGGGTGCCTTTTCCTGGCAGCCTTTTGCTCCTCCAGTAAAAGCTATTTTTCCTCTGCTTTTATTTAAATGTTTCGTTTTACAAAGAAAAGAACACCACATTTTGCAAGACTTGACCGTAACGGATCTTCCGCGTCTCTCCCTCTGTCCATTTCTTCTTTTTTTATATACATATAATTCTTCGTCCCTCCAGGTGCTGGCCTTCCCTCTTGCACGGCTTTTCCCCGGCTTTAAAAATGTCGGCTAGGAATCCAAATTTGTTTCCCAGGAGTTTTATCGGTTCCTTAAACCAAACGGTGAGTTCCACAGGCGGGGGAAAAGACTATTTTGCCAAAGAAAGCAGTATGGTTAAAAAAAAAAGAAAAAAAGATCCAAAGCATACTTTTGTATTCTTGACTGACTAGGTAACAAAATGGGACAGCTGTGCACAAATCCATATTATTATCTTTACCTAAAAAGAAATATGTATGTTGAAACAGGAGATTGTTGGAGGGAATTGGCTTTCCAGGTCAAACTGAATAGTATTTCCATGGATGACAAGGTTATTTTCANGGCATGAGGGGGCCATAGTTCCCCCATGCTGGCTCAGGAATTCTGGGAGTTGAAGTCCACGAGTCATGAGGGGTCCATAGTTTCCCCATGCTGGCTCAGGAATTCTGGGAGTTGAAGTCCACGAGTCATGAGGGGGCCATAGTCCCCCATGCTGGCTCAGGAATTCTGGGAGTTGAAGTCCACCAGTCATGAAGGGGCCAGGTTTGAAGGCCCTTGGTTTAAATATTTAACTATTTTTTCCTCACAATCACGTGATCAAAATTCAGACATTTGGGCAGGGGTAGGCAACCTTGGCTCTTTTATGACTCGTGGACTTCAACTCCCAGAATTCCTGAGCCAGCCATGCTGAGGGGAAAGGGAGAGGTTTCCAAGCTGAGCCATGCTGGCTCAGGAATTCTGGGAGTTGAAGTCAACCAGTCATAAAAGAGCCAAGGTTGCCTACCCCTGGTTTAATGGAGCAGAGGAACCTGAGTGCGAATCCTGCCTTAAACGCCCGAAGCCAGCTGGGTGACTTCGGACCAGTTGCTTTTCTCTCAGTTCAGGAAGAAGGCAAGGGCCTGGCACTGCTGATGTTCTGCCTAAGAAAATGCAGGAGAGAAGGAGAGAGAGAGAGAGAGAGAAAGGGAAAGAAGAAAAGGGAATATAGAATATAGAATAACAGAGTTGGAAGGGACCTTAGAGGTCTTCTAGTCCAACCCCCTTGCTCAGGCAGGAAACCTATACCATGTCAGACAAATGGCTGTCCAGTCCCTTCTTAAAAACTTCCAGTGTTGGAGCATTCACAACTTTTGGAGGCAGGTAGTTCCACTGGTTAATTGTTCTAACTGTTAGGAAATTCCTCCTTAGTTCCAGGTTGCTTCTCTCCTTGGTTAGTTTCCATCCGTTGCTCCTTGTCCACGAGTCATGGGGCTTTGTCCAGGGGCTTTGGAGAATAGCTTGACTCCCTCTTCTTTGGGGCAGCCCCTGAGATACTGGAAGACTGCTATCCTGTCCCCCCTCGTCCTTTTCTTCATTAAACTAGACATCCCCAATTCCAGCAACCGTTCCTTATATGCTTTAGCCTCCAGTCCCCTAATCGTCTTTGTTGCTCTTCTCTGCACCCTTTCCAGAGTCTCAACATCTTTTTAAAATCGTGGTGACCAAAACTGAATGCAGTATTCCAAGTGTCGCCTTACCAAGGCATTGTAAAGTGGTATTAACACTGGAAGGAAGGAAGAGAAAAGAAGAGAAAGGAAGAGAAAGAAAGAGAGAGACAGAGACAGAGACAGAAAGAAAGAAAGAAAGAAAGAAAGAAAGAAAGAAAGAAAGAAAGAAAGAAAGAAAGAAAGAGGGAGGGAGGGAGGGAGGGAAGGAAGGAAGGAAGAGGAAGGAAGGAAGGTAGAAAGGCAGGCAGGCAGGCAGGAAGGAAAAAGATAGACAGACAAAAACTATCTCACAGTCTACTGGTGATTGGCCAAAATCACCCAGCTGGCCTTTATACCTAAGGCAGGACTAGAACTCCCAACCTCCTGGATTCTAGCCTGGTGCCTTCACTGCTAGACAAAACTTTTGCTTTCCAATTTTTGGTGCAGAATCTATTCTGGCTGCCTCCTCTGACCTGCTTTAGGCAGTCTAACCAGAGCAGCAGCCTCAGGTGTGTCCCCCCCCCCCCTTTCTCTTCTGTTCCTAGAGGACCGCAAGGCCCGGGCCCTGGCCTTGAGAGCCACCCCCTCCATGAGGCACAAGGTGGGCTGGCACCAAGCCCTGACCGAGGAGATGGCCAAGGCCAACATCAAAATCCTGCAGGTACCGGAAGGGAAGAGCCCCTGGAAACAGGGCTGGGGGTGTCTCACATGGGCC